CTGCGCCTTCTTCACTGTTTTGTTTGTGTGTCATCAGACCAAAGCACAGATTTCCACTGCTCTAATATCCACTCCTTGTGTTTCTTGGCCCCCAAAAAATTTCTTATGCTTGTTGCTTTTCCTTAGTCATGGTTTCTTAGCAGCTATTCGACCATAAAGGCCTGATTCGCGCAGTCTCCTCTGAACAGTTGATGAAGAGATGTGTCTTCTACTGGAACTCGTAGCATTTATCTGGGCTTTAATCTGAGATGCTGTTAACTTGTAATTTCTGAAGCTGGTGACTCGGATGAATTTATCCTCAGCAGCAGAGGTGACTCTTGGTCTTCCTTTCCTGGGGCAGTCCTCATGTGAACCAGTTTCATCGTAGCACTTGATGGTTTTTACGACTGCACTTGGGCACACATTCAAAGTTTTAGAAATTTTTGTCGACTGCCTGACTTTCAGTTCTTAAAGCAATGATGGACTGTTGTTTCTCTTTACTTAGCTGATTGGTTCTTACCACAATATGAATTCTAACAGTTGTCAAATAGGGCTCTCAGCTCTGTACCAAACTGACTTCTGCACAACACAACTGATGGTCCCCACACCATTAAGAGTTCAAGAAATTCCACAAATGAACCCTGACAGGGCCCACCTGTGTAGTGGAAACTATTTCAGGTGATTACATCATGAAGCTCACTGAGAAAAGGCCAAGGGTTTGCAGCGCTGTCAATAAAACAAAGGGTGGCTACTTTGAGGAATCTAAAATATACGCCAATTCCATATCTTGTTTTAGAATATTTGATGTTTTCAGTATGAAGACATTGAGAAGGTGTGTCCAAACTTTTGACTGGTATATACATTTAAAAATTATTATATATATTAAAATAAAAAGTCTGAATATATCGAATGAAGTCATCCCCACAGGAGAAATCAGATTTGGTTGAGTGATGTTTTCTAGTTTACAGGGAGCTGTAAAGCAGGAGATGAGCTTTCATCCGTTTAATAACAACAGGAGTAGGAGATAGATTTTGATTTCAGTCGAATGCACCACAGCAAACCAATAACGTAGGCTCAACTCTGTCTTGTTTGCTTGAGGTGCATGCATTCAATATATTTCACATTTTATGAATGCTTTCCATGGAGCATGACCATGACCCATTATGCAATCATTTAATTTAGTGAACGTGTAAATCCTGCCAAATTATTTTATTCAGAGAAGGAAAAAACTGTTTCTATAAGTGCAGCTCAAGGGCATTTAAAAAAAAATGTAAACACTATATTCTCTGTGTTCAACTGTTTATTACATCAGAAAAAGAAAAGAAAACAGTCAGTAGTAGAGGACATTTTGTCTTTATCATGGTGATATTTGAATGGACTGAGTGGCCCTGCTCTTGTTGAGTGATTAGAAGCATGAGACCACTTCCTCTGTGTGACCTTTTATAGTTGTCAGTTTTTAGTACAGAGGAAATTACAGCAATGGTTGTCTGCCCATTACTTCAGAGAGATAGAGACAGAGAGAAGGGAAAGGGCAGGAGGATGGACAGCCCTGGGAAGTAAGAATAGGGGGCGGGAGGGTTGAGGCAGTGTTTGAGAGAGGTGAGCGTGTCCTCCACAATGCTGTGGGTAGGAGAACATAAAGCTCTTTAATCAATGATCAGAGACTACACTAACCATAGTCCTGTGGGCATCCAGAGAGCACATTGTTCCTCCCCATGTTTTCTTTTTCCTTATTTTTTTTACATGTCTGTGCTTCCTTCCGATCTTCATTCATCGCTGTCTGATCAGGCTCAGCCCCTCTGTGTCCTGTTTGGCTATATATCTCTGTGATAAGACAATGGTATATGACGAAACACCCAGCTTTTCCAATCCCTTGTCGCTTTGCCCTCCAGCTAAACCCACACAGATGGGTGGACACACACACTCAAACACAAACACATACATAAGGGGGAAAAAGATATGTGAAGAAGCACCAGCATGCACAGCTCACTCTGAAGTAAACCTCTCTAATCCATCCCACATGTCACACCATCATATACAAACACACACACAGGATATGTGCTAATCCCTCTCTGTGAACACTGTGAAAAGTAGAGACATTTATTTTCTTTTTAAATTTTATTTTATCTTAATTTCCATATTGTATAATCCTAAAGACGGCATTTGTTGAAGTTTGCAACTACGAAAAGTTACAAAAATTGATTTCCAATCCAACGTGTCTCAACAAGCATGGAAATTTACCAAATGCTTCGGAGCCCTGGCATCCGGCCCTTTAGGGTGATGAAGCGAGGCAGGTGCATACAGTAATATTGGCTGTCTATCCAACCTTTAAATTACCAATGCTGGTCTGATACTCTGGCAAACAGGGAGTAGGATGCCTCTGAGTTATAGCCATTTTGACTGAAGCCTTGTCCCAGGCTC